GTAACGGTAACGCGTTACTTTTTAAAATTAGTAACGAGTAACGGTAACGAGTTACTTTTTACAAAAAGTAACGGTTACGGTAACGCGTTAGTTTTTTAAGGTAACGTTCCCTACCTTGACCGTCTGGTAGTACTGTCTGTAGGTTCGGCAATTGCAATATCTATCTTCTTGAATGTATTCACAACCGTATGAAGATTTGGCCTGTTCATTGGCTCTTCTGGGACGCGCATTGCTTCTGCGACTAAAAATATAAATTTATTCAAAGTTTTGTACACATACATCAACGTAAATATTTAACAAGTGTCTAAATAAACTTACGTTGCCAGGGTTCGGTGCAACAGTCAGGTGCAACATCTTCAGTTACATTCGTGAATGGCCCGGCGATGCAAAAGCGTTTGCATAAGCGGGCGTTCCACCGTGAGTGAGAAGGTTGCGTGAGATCTATCGTCAATGTCGTCGTCGGTAATAATTGAGGTACTGTCGACGTAGCTAATGGCTGAAAATAATTTAGTCAGAATTTTTGAAATCTCTTAAATGAAAATTTCTCGTTTCTTAAACGTTATTATTTTATAAGTGTTGAGAAATGAGTAAATTTAGCTTAGTCATATGTATAAGTACGCGTGTATGTATGGCTAAGCGATGCCGGCGAGTGCGATAGGAGAGGGACACCGCACGAGCGACTCACGACGCGAGCACAGAACGCCGAAAGACACTCGTGGCCGAGACGTAGGCCGAGTATAATATACTTGTATTTAGTGTATTCACTATAAACTCGTTAATCCATATATACCATAACGTCTCAAGACTGACTTTCCCCAAGCACTCCACGCCTCATTAAACTTATCAATTTATATACACGTTTTTTTATAAGTTTATATAATTATTAAACTCACCTTACAATGAATATTCTGAGGCTTTAACAATTTGTCACTTAAGACAATCTTTTCTTCTGTAACTAGTTTTCTAGTTTTGGTTTGCTTTAGAGACAATACAGGCGATTTAGAAGCTGGTACTGTCACATCCTCTACAGGACCAGGAGGTTCGGTCATTGTTACATCTTCAAAGGATAACTGAAAAAAATGAAAAAAAATTCCAATATTTAAGGGCAGATGAAGTTTACGATCAGAAAATCAACAGTTTGGCAACGCAAGGATATCGCGGTACATTACAGGATTTAGGGATCAAGGGTAGAAGTTTGAGAATGCAGAATTTAGTGATTAACAAACGCTTGAACATTAAATCGAGATTTACATACAGCTATATTCAACCTTTCATCAGACTTGTCAGACATGTCAGACATGTCAGACAAAAGGTACAAGTCTTCTTCCAACGGAGCGTTAAGAATGTTTGGACCTGAGTGAGGCATTTCTATTACAGGATCGGCAGGAGGCCGATCTGTATGCTCTTCAATCGCACGAAAATAGTCTTCATCTTCACACATTGGATGTATTTGAAAAGCCTCCTCTGAGAAGTAAACAAGATTACAGAAGTGAACCGGCACAGATGGTACCGTTAATAAGTATAGAATTAAACTCACTCAGACAGTTGTTAACCTGAAGAGAATAAATTTTCGTTACGCCACCCATTAATTGCGCCGACAAACGCCATCTCATCGGTATGTTGTCATCCGACTGTATTTCCATAATTTCCTTGCTGACAATGTAATATAAAAGTGCAAAGTGTTAAAATTATGCAAACGTGAAATTGTCACTGTAGACTAGTGTAGACATTCAATATTGAAAGTAGACGAAAGTCCTGTATTATGAGATACTCTTAATATGAGATAATGGTGCTTCTGTTAAATTAATAAGCATCATCTGATGCTCTTGGAGCAAAATCTGCTTAGTGGAAAAGTGATTGTTCAATTGTGTAATTGTTGCGGAAAGATTTGTGATTGAAATTGAGTGTTGAAAAATCTGCTACCTCATAATAGAGAACTCTTTCCTCTGAATGAACAAAATGCGTACCAAATTTCCTCGACGCTTAACTCTTTTATGATCCTAGCGTAGTACCGTTCCTTAAAGGATTGCTCACTGAGCGTCGCAGCGAACCAGCAAGGAGCTAATTTGTTCCTCCGTCGACGGGAAAGAAGCATATTTGGAAATGACATCTGACGAGAAGCAGAACTCGTTGATAAAAGCCGGTTTGTGTAAGTGGCAGACGAAAGATCATGTCAAAAGAGTAATGTAAAAGCGATAATAGCAACAGAAAATGGCGGTGGAATTACCTTGATTTGTCAAGTTGCTCTAATATCAAGCCCGTACGGATATTCTTGCCAAATGTAACGATTAACGACCAAATTCTTTTGGTAGTAGTCGATCGAAGCTCTCAATTTTTACAACTTATGAGCTCAATTTCCTCCAGACGCGCCTCTCTCGGACGTTACTCCTTTCACTTTTCCTCTTTCGCGAGTTATTTCACTTATTACGGAAAGCACGGGCGTCCCAACTTCTGCGTCGTAATTTGAAATTACGGCTGTGTTCAGCAGAAGTTAGCGCTTTATGCTGATTGGATAGATCTAGAAGAATAGCTCTATTTCAGCACAGATCTGAAAGTATAAAGGTGCCTTTTCACGCGTCGCTCGTCGCTGGATTTCTCGGTACATGATTGGCCGTCATTAGTCCCAGTCTACAATAGAGACTTAGGGCCGGAGCACACAAATGGCCTTAAGCAATAAGACGTAAGCAGTAAACGAATTGACCAATCATAGTCGAGATTATGGCAGCCATATTATATATTCTCGACTGTGATTGGTCAATTCATTTACTGCTTACGTCTTATTGCTTAAGGCCATTTGTGTGCTCCGGCCCTTACCCCTGGTCCACAATCTTGCTTTAAGTAAGTTGTAAGCCTTAAGCCGTAAGAAATTAACCAATCACAGGTGAGAGTGAGGGGAATAAATGCCTGCGATTGGTTAATTTCTTACGGCTTAAGGCTTACAACTTACTTAAAGCAAGATTGTGGACCAGGGGTTAAGTCCCAGTCTACAATAGATGATTTAAGCCCTAAGCTTTAAGAAATTG